GTTGGTTAGAGCGCTGCACCGGAATCGCAGGGCAGTAGGTTCAATTCCTACCAGAGGACCTTGTGCTGCATTTTTCGCAGTCGATCCTGGTTAGGTCTTAAAATGTATATATATTCTCACTTGGATTACAAACCCTAACATTCTAATATTAAGTCCACCAAGTGAAGTGCAAGAATCCAAATTATTGAAGTCCACCTTATCATAACCCGCACACCCGATTACTTAAATATACATGAACTTACGGTTAAAGCTCAACAGCTGGCCTCTGTAGCTCAGTTGGTTAGAGCGCTGCACCGGAATCGCAGGGCCGTAGGTTCAATTCCTACCAGAGGACTTTGTGCTGCATTTTTCGCAGTCGTTCCTGGTTAGGTCTTAAAATGTATATATTCTCACTTAAAATGTATATATTACAAACCCTAACATTCTAACCCTAACATTCTAACATTTGAAATTAAGGATTTGGAGGTTTTGCGATCACCGACAACTTGATAATTTTATAAAACAAAACACTTCTATCTCCAACTTTTACAATCACTGATAAATTGATAATAATTTAAACCAGTCTAGCTGTAGTTTAAATAGAGAATAATACATGGGTGCACGAAATACCAGATTTATTTCGAGTGTTGAACATGAGTGTGCAGCGAACAAGTGAGCGCAGCGAACGAGTGAGATGTCATGTTCAACACAAAAAATAAATCTGGTATTTCCAACCACCCATGTATTTTTCTGTTTATTATATAAAGGACAGTCTTAAATGAAAAGCGATAATGTTTACAGAAAAGCGATAATTGAAAAGGCGATAAATTTTTACATGTGAGATTATCATGAATAATTTCACATCTGAGATTATCATTTTTGTCAGTGCTCGAAAACTCTGCAAAACACTATACTTTATATAATAAAATTCATAAATTTGCACCATGCTAGAGCATGACAACAGCAAAATGCTCTATAGTATGATGCACAATATTTTGGGAGGTGATCGAAATACACGAACAATAAATCAGAGAGTGTTTGCTTGGAACTCACTGGGGGGGGGGGAGGTGCAACACCCCTGATTATTGCTCATGATGAATTTCAGGTAGATTTCCAGTGCACTTTTAGTACCTACATTTAAGTAGATTTGCAGAAGATTTTCAGGGGAATTCAGGTAATTCTCAGGACATGACTGAGAAAGTGAATTTGGAAAACAACTGTATTAAATTTCGGAAAAATTATTATATGTCCTGAAAAATTTTTGTACATCTGGAAACTTTTTGGTAACCCCCCCCCTCTATCTAACCCCCCCCCCCCTGCGACGAAGTGCTCGCAACGGCACTGAGTATATATCTTTTGAAAACAGGCGAGGGGTTATTGCATGCATGTATTTCTAGTATTTTGGGCTCAAACTACTAACAAAATAAAGAGAAAAGAGAGACGAATCCACTGGTATACGGCCGAAAAAGAGAAAACCAACAATACGAAAGTTATCAAGGTCAAATGTATTGCATTTTTAATTAATAATAATAATAATTTTGAGCGATTTGTGAACAATACAATTGCACTTGTCTTTCAAAGGCCATAAATCGTTAGAATACTGTTGTTTAGTAATACATTTGACATCTGTTAGTATAATTTCTTACGCTGAATCGAACGGTGGTATTTTTGTCCTTATTGGGCACATGAAACCAGAGATAAGGCGCAGCAAAAAGTCAATCGTGAGAGTCCGAGATTAATTCGAAAGAAAACTTTCCTCGGAAAAAGGAATTTGGAAAACGTGAAGGATTATTTTGAGCGGCTTGTCTTTCAAAGGCCATAAATTGCAAGAATAGAAATCAATTTTGAAATCAACTTTCCATCCGTAAATACAAGTTTTCACGCTGATTCGAACAGTAGCATTTTTGTCCTTGTTTGACGCATAAAGCCTAGAAAGTAGTCGATCTTGAGAGTACAAGATTAATAACAATTAATAAATTCCGAGCACGGGCAAGGAATTTTTAGTAGGCGATTAAGGAAACGTATTGATGCAAACACACTAACAAACGGACAAACAAACGGACAAACGGACAAACTGACAAACGGACGAACTCAGAGGCAGAATATAATGCGGTGCCAAACTTGGGCACCGCAATTCATAATCATAACACAAGAAATTCTTCGTTGCTGCACAAAAGGAGTAATAGAGCATAAGAACAAACTGTATACCAAACATACTCTTGCCAATAAAGACATAGATGTGTGGAATATAATAATCTTCCCACAAAATATAAAGAACCTAGGTCTTATGCTTCCTTCAAATCAGTAATTAAAAAGTACTTTTTACAACTAGATAATATTTAACAATATAACATGTTTTCGTAAATATGATTGTATATATTCATATGTATTATATAATACTTCTTTTCCTTAATTTCTGAAAAGCACAGCTTAAATAATAAACATAGGGGCCCAAAAGAAAAAGCCATATCGTTTCTATAGTAGGCTCCTAGCCCATTTCTTGTATATATCTATTCCTTATTACTACAGACGGTACCGTTTCGGCCTTATGGGCCTCATCAGTGTAGTGCTGATGAGCAGGATAAAAGTAACTGCTATTTACAGTTACCTTTGATGCCTCACGATTGTGGGACATCAAAACCATGCCAGAGCGCTCAAACTGCAAGCAGTGAGCGTGTGCAATGCGTAAGCGCCAATGGCTCATCCTGTAGAGCGCTCAATATGACTAAAGGCCATAGAGCGATATCTAACTACAGACGGTACCGTTTCGGCCTTATGGGCCTCATCAGTGTAGTGCTGATGAGCAGGATAAAAGTAACTTCTATTTACAGTTACCTTTGATGCCTCACGATTGTGGGACATCAAAACCATCCTAGAGCGCTCAAACTGCAAGCAGTGAACGTGCGTAAGCGGCAATGACTCATCCTGTAGAGCGCTCAATATGACTTAATGGCCATATATCTAGACGTGTACCAAGCTGCACTGACGAGGCGTTGAACGCCGAAACATGCATGTCTGCAGATTGTACTATATATATATATATATATATATATATATATATATATATATATATATATATATATATTATATATATATATATATATTATATATATATATATATATATATATATAGTATATATATATATAGTATATATATATATAGTATATATATATATATATATATATATATATATATATATATATATATATATATATATATATATATATATATATATATATATTTTGTGGTTTTGTTGAACTTTTCTTCAGACATACAAAGTAAAAACTTTTATTCGTAAAATAAAGTTTTAAAATCCCAAACGTTTCGCCGATCAAGGCTTCTTCAGTGGGAAACTAGTTAAAAGTCATATAATGTCCCTATATATATGCAAGTCCGTCAATAGCCAAAATTACAATATATAAAACTAATTAGAGATAAAACGACTGTCTTGATTACATGTACAGGATTAAAAAAATTAAAATTAATTATATATACAAGATTTAAGAAAATTAAAATACTAATTGTATAAAAGTGTTCTCCCAGTACAGCCATTCATAATTTTGTCAGCATTGTTTCGTATCTCGACTGCTTCAATGTACCTTCGCTCCTCTTGGTTGCGGATATGTGTGTGTAAAAGTTTCCAACTTATTTTAGCGTCCTCAGGTCTCTGATTGTGGGAAATTATGTGTCTGTATACGGTCTGCTTATCCATTGATAAGTGTTCTTTAATTCTTTGGCCTATTGTTCTTCCTGTCTCGCCGATGTATATAATATCGCAGGTCGTGCATGTAATTTGGTAGACCACATTCTTCGCTAAGCACTGGTTACGCTTCGATGCTAATTTACACGTTACGCATTTGTCAGGACAATTTGGTTTATTTCTTGGTGGTGCGAACACTTTAGCCAATGGTCTGCCATTCTCAAAATAAATTTTAATGTTTGCTATACCTGAACGGCGTACGACACCCAATGCCCGTCGTTTAAGTTCTTCATTAATGAAGGGCATTTTAATGTAAATAGTTTTCTGTTGTTCGTCGTCTTCATTTCGTGTAGTGGTAGTTACACGTGACGCATTTCGAATGGTCGTTCTTATCATTTCTCTGGGGTACCCATTGTTTAAAAACTATTCCGTCACTGTTCTTAACGATTTCCTTCGAGCTTGTTGATTGGAAGAGCAATAGATGGCTCGCTTGATTTCGCCAATAAGTATCGCTCTTTTTGATGCTATCGAGCCGTGGCTGCCCCAGGGTATAATACAACCATTGTGTATGGGTTTCCTATACTCTCTCTCTAGACTCAGGGTATTGTTGCGTTATATGGGTTTCGCTTAACGTTGAAATATCAATACCTTTAAAATCTGAAACAAGTCTGTTAGATAAAGTCTGTTCGAGAAAAGACCCCTCACATTTTGATGAAATATCTTCAAGCCTCCTTGATCCAGTAGAGTATTCAATTTCGGTACACATGCTGGGACAAACAACATTCCAACGGATTCTACCGAAGTATGCGCAAAGAAACTGGAAAATCTTGTTATCAAAACCAAAGCTAAATTTCCTTACTCAATAGTTGGTTTTTCAGGAATCACGTTAAGACAAGATATTGAAGCAGCAACAAACATCCAGGAAGTCAACAAGAAACTCAAAGAGATATCTACTAAGCTTAATGTCGCGATCGCGTTTATAAACAACTCGTCTACAGATAACGCAATCTGCACCTTAATAGTAAAGGCTCAGCATTTCTAGCCACTCATTTCATTAAATTCCTGAGAGGAGAACAACATTCAAGATCACGCAATCGTTCTGGGGAAGATTTTCGTACTGAAAGCGATACTTGCCGGGACCTCTCGAACAATAATACAACGTTAACTTCTATTGGGTGTGATCCGGGCTCAAGACCTAGTAAGGATTACCATAAATCAGATAAGTCTATATTAAATGAATTAAATAACTCGAAAGGTATTAGGATTGCTTGCATAAACATTAATAGTCTTCCAAAGCATATTGATGAGCTTCGAGTTGTAATGCAGAATGGTCCCTTAGATATTTTAGCAATTAATGAAACCAAAATCGATGACTCATTCTCGGAAGATGAAATCAGTGTTGTCGGATATCACTTAATTCGGAAAGATCGTAATAGATATGGAGGCGGTGTGCTTTTGTATGTCCGTGACACTATACCCTTTACCGAACGAAATGACTTACTAACATGTTCACTAGAAATGATATGCGTAGAAATCAGTAGATCATGCAGTAAGTCATTCGTAGTAAGTACATGGTATAGACCGCCTAACTCAGATGGCCAGGTATTCGACGACTTTGAAGTGTTTCTTTGGAAATGTGATTCAGAGAACAAAGAACTGATACTTGTAGGGAATTTAAACTGTGATTTCAGCAAATCTCCTCCTGATGCACACACGCGTAAGCTACAATTTCTATCGACTCTTTACTGACCAATTTGATCAACTAATTAATGAGTCCACTAGGGTAACGAAAGCGTCAGCAACCCTGATCGATTTCTTGATCACGAATAAGAAGCAAAATATTGCAAAATCAGGAGTTATCCATCTAGGCCTATCAGATCACAGCTTAATTTTTGCTGTCAGGAAACACTGTGCTTTTAATTCTCGGCAAAATGTAAGATATGCTCGTAATTTAAAAAAAGTTAATACGACTGATTTTCTTGATGATCTCTCACAAATGCCATGGGAAGATGTGGCCATGCATGACGATCCAAATACTTGTTATCGAGTATGGCGATCATATTACTTGCAAGTATTGGATCGCCATGTACCTTTAAGGCGTATGAGGGTTCGAGCCAATTCTCTCCCTTGGATTAATTCAAATATTAAAGAGCTGATGCGAATGAGAGACTTTCATAAAAAAAGGACTGCAAAATATAACTCCCAAACGCACTGGGATAAGTATAAAGAAACTCGGAATAAAGTCAATACAGAAATGTACAAGGCCAAAAAAAACTTTTTCTGTAAAAAAATCAAAGATTGTGCCCTGACCAAAGACCCTAAACAAAGCTGGAAGTTAATTAATGAACTCCTAGGCAAAAATAATAGAAGAAACAATATTTACCAGCTAAAAAATTGACGAGATATTATTTCTGACGATATAAAGATTGCAGAGTCCTTTAATAACTACTTCGTGAGTATTGGGGCAGAACTGGCCTCTGAAATTGAGAACAATTCCCTGGACTCAAGTTCGTCAGAAAATGTCAATTCTAGATCAGATAATCAATTTAAGTTTTCCGAAATTAACGTACATGAAGTATTTCTTTAGTTACATAAACTTAAAACATCAAAATCGACAGGTATTGATAATGTCCCAGCAAGGGCACTTAAAATTTCAGCCGAAATAATTAGTCCATCGTTAACGTGGATATTTAACCTCTCGATTCAAACTGGAATTTATGTAGATGATTGGAAAAAGGCATTGGTATTACCAACTTTTAAAACTGAAGACAGACAGAAATGTGAAAATTACCGCCCAATTTCAATTTTTAGTAAAATCATTAGTAAAATCTTTGAGCGTTCTGTTTTCAACCAATTGTACGAATTTTTAAATGAGAGCTCCTTGCTTTCTAAATATCAATCTGGTTTCCGCCCAAAGAACTCGACCTTAACTGCACTTATTCAAATGTACGATGCATGGTACGCAAGTATGGATAACGGCGATTTGAACGGAGTAGTTTAAGAAGCATGAAAAATTTTAACACAGAAAATTATTTAAGAGATTTAGAACAACAAGCATGGGCAGACGTAAACCTAAGCAATGATCCTGATGAAATGTGGGTGAAATGGAAGAACATGTTAATTAATTGTATTGACAAGCATGCACCACTCAGATCAAAAAGAGTTGGGAAAAAGAAATCCCCCTGGATCACCAGCCAATTAAAGCAAAAAATGCGTAAGAGAGATTTTCTGAAAAAGAAAGCTAAGCAGACCGGTGACCCATTAATTTGGCAACAATATAAACATTCACAAAATAGCACGAATAATGAAATTAAAGGTGCAAAAAGTCAATATTTTAAGGTTAACTTTGAGGCTAATAAGAAAAATCCAAAATCAACCTGGAAACTTATTAACGAATTAAACTCTCGTAATGCCTCTAGCCACAAAACTATATCCAATATCAAAGTAGGTGAAGAAACTATATATACACCCAAGCAAATAGCGGAGACATTTAATTCTCATTTTGCTAGTGTGGGTGAAAATTTAGCATCCGATATACCACTCTCTACCGTAGAACCTGACGTATATGTTGTGCCTGCTGAAACCACATTTTCAATGAAATCCCTCACTGTATATGCAGTTTACAAAAAAATTAAAAGCAATTAACGAAAGGAAAGCAGCTGGTCTTGATAAAATACCTTGCAAACTTTTAAGAATTTCAGCTGAAATAGTTGCCCCATGCATCTTTAATTCAAATATTTAATAAGACTATAAGTACAAGCATCTTTCCTACAGACTGGAAGCTAGCGAGAGTTACTCCAATTTTTAAGAAAGGTAAAAAAGACGACATGAACAACTATCGACCACTATCTGTTATTTCTGTAGTACCAAAGATTTTTGAAAAGTTTACTTTTGAGCAGTTGTATGAGTATCTGAATAACAACAATCTAATATCTACGTCTCAATCTGGATTTCGATCATTGCACAGTACACTAACTGCCCTAATAGAAGCCACGGATAATTGGTCAATAAATATAGATAAAGGCCTTCTTAACGGAGTAATTTTTATCGATCTTAAAAAAGCATTTGATACTATTGATCACACTATTCTTTTACGGAAGTTACGAATTTATGGCGTTGATGAAAATGGTATCAAATTCTTCGAATCATACCTAAGCAACCACAGTCAAAGATGTTGCGTCAATGGTGAGTTATCTGAAACTGCTAAAATAACCTGTGGGGTACCACAAGGCAGTAACTTGGGACCTCTATTGTTTTTAATATACATAAATGATTTGCCTAATTGTCTCGACAGAGCCTCTCCAAGAATGTTTGCTGACGACACTAATATTAGCATCGCAGCAAATTCCGTCACAGAGCTTGAGCAAATATTAAACTCTGAATTGAAAAATCTTCATCAATTGCTACTAGCTAATAGACTGAGTCTTAACGTAGCTAAAACGGAATTCATGATAATAGGATCTCGTCAAAGATTACTAGTACATGATAACGAACACATAAGGATAGAAATCGACGGAGTCAACGAAACGAAATCCTTAGGCTTGCAAAACGATGAGCATCTTACATGGGCACATAGGCGTACCGGGCGGGGGGATATTCGATTAACAGTCGGGCAATTTTGGTTTATTATAAAAATAAATCGGACAAATTCTGTCAATTTTTTCGAAAATTTAGGCAATTTTGTGGCCAATGTAGTGTTTTTTGGAAAATTTATGTGATGCTCCGAAAAATTATGGTATGTCCGGAAAAATTTTTGACCCCTTAAATGGTACACTGACCGGAATTTTTTTTGGCGACGGGGGGGGGGGGCAAAATCACAAAAAGTCGGGCAATTTTACGAAAAGTCGGGCAATTTTCTTTCCGCCCCCCTAATTTTTTCCTTCCGGTACGCCCTTGCATGGACACGACGTGTCGAAAATATTTCCAAAAAGATTGCATCAGCTATTGGAGCTCTTAAACGGATACGCCAATTTATAGATACAAACACTGCTCTGAAAATTTATGGTGCGTTAATTCAACCGCACTTTGATTATTGTAGCTCAGTTTGGGATGGTTTGAATGTCACGTTAAATGACAAATTTCAAAAATTGCAAAATAAGGCAGCGAGAGTCATCACTAAATCTCAATATGATGCTAACTCCAGCGACCTTTTTAATAAACTGGGCTGAGATAATATTTTAACACGTCGGAAAAAGCATAAGGCTATACTAATGTTTAAAACAATTAACGATCTAACTCCGTTTTATCTCCGTGAATTGTTTGAATCTCGCAGCACAGAATATAACTTAAGAAACTCTGAACACACCTTATTTGTACCAAAACCAAGAACCAACTACGGTAAGCGAAGTTTCAGTTATAGCGGGGCAGTTTTATGGAAAGAGTTACCACAAAATGTACGAACAACATGCTCCCTAAGTCAATTCAAAAGAGCAATTGACAATTTGTTCTCTATATGAGATGGACTCCCGCACGGCAATCTTGTAAATCAGTATTTTAGTGTTTGGATACGTTTAAAGTGTATATTAATTGTCATAGCGTAATTTGTAATTATATGTTAGTTAATTATCTTGTAAAATGTTATACTGTAGATTTCACCGTGTTAAAATAAAGTTTGATTGATTGATTGATTGATTGATTGATTGATTGATTGATTGATTGATACGCAGATATTTTCATCCGCTAAGGATTCTGTTGAACTTATTTTCAACTTGAATAACGATTTGAATAAAATTAGCCAATGGCTAACAAGTAAAAATTTACAGCATCATTCAACCAAAACCAAATTAATGTACATTGGTTCAAAGCATAATCTTCAGAACAGGGGTTATTCTAAGGACAATTTACAAATCCAGTAAATAAAAAAATTCTGCCACTTTGTTGAAGTATTAAGTCTTAAGGAGGAGATCTACTGTATCGACCTGCATTATCCCTATAACTAGCACGGCTAATTAATTTTTTTTGAATTTGTTATGGTCTTCATCTTACTTATTCTCCAGTTACACTGTTTGTGACTCTGTCACAGCAACTGTTAGTCACTTTTCGGTGTGGTGACGTAAGACCCCGCGCATACGGTACACCTGTTGATGAGGTAGGTAATAGGTAATATACCTTCAGGACATAGGTTCTTATTGGGTCAATGGTGGGGAAATTAATTAGGTCTTGAAAGAAGGACATTTGTACTAGTTATTATATAGGCTTTAGTGCACAATAATTCCATATTTCCTATAAATATTTCCTATAAACTGATGACATACGTCATAAACTATAAACATCTTAGGAAATAAATACGACCTTCGAATTAGTTTCGCTTAATCTCAGGTCAAATACTTTTCCATTTAGCAGTCATTCACAATTAATATTGTTTTACTTCTGTGTGTTTATCAAAATAAATAAAATGTTTCCCCTGCTGACAGAGCACTAAAGTGACAAAATCTATCAACGTATCAAACTGATAAGAGATAACGACGAATAAAATCACTGCAGACTTTTCATTTAGTCCGAATAGACTCAATACCTTTGGCTTTCACTTTCCAGAAAGTTGATAAAGCAATCATGTAAATATTGAACGAAACTGATTTATCAAGAAGAACTTCTCAAAACGTCTCTGCAACAATAGTCAGATGTTAAGAGCGGAGTCTTCTACTATAATACTTCTTGTGAAAATTCAAAGCAAAAGCCTGATATAATCAACTTCCCTTGAAAGGCATTGCCCTTAGTATTCCACGAGAAAGGCGAGTTCATCACCTTTTTGTGACAGCCTTAAGAGATATAACAGCGATGAAGAAAGAAATTATTTATTTGGAATTTCTAGATCAGAAATTTGGACATTTGGTGTTGATCAGAAGATATTGAAAGTAGTCAAACCCTTTATTGCTTTAAAGCCTGATGATGATGTCAAGGAATTCCATGAAACAATATGTTCAGATTTACCGTTAATATATATAGAACTTTCTCTCGAATTTAACAGCATTGTAACATCACCAGAGCTGATACGTACTCTCCAAAATCAACGTTTAGCTCAGATGGGGAAGTATTTGGCATGAAAACGAAACATTTATCCCAATATTGTCATAGCCCTTGCCAGAATACGGGCAGCAAAACCTCGCTCGTGCGATGATGAAAGGTTAATCAGTGCATGACCTTGTAAAAACATCGCTGAGGAATTCTATTGATGTCGAAACACAAAATCTTTATCTATACGTTCACTTCAATATGCCAACTCTTGAGGAATTGGATCGAAGAATGTGTGTTGTGATATGGCTGCAACAAAGGGCACGCAAAAACGAGGAACTGACAAAGCACATTATCAACGATGGGTCAAAGGTGTGTATAAAGAAGCGACTGAGAAGAAAGAACACACAAGAGAGTCAAGAGACGACATAGTGGATCAACATGTAGAACAAAATAAGAAGGCCAAACTGTTTTGAACAAAGCTTGGCTTATGGATAAAAACACTTAATATAACTTCTCTAATTTGCACTTTTAAACTACAGTACATAACTTTATACGTTAATGAATGTGACTTCTGGAATGTGATATATTTTGAATGTGTGTTGAGTTGAAGACTAAATTATCAATATTATATCAGTCACAACTCCCGTGTTTTTCATTTGCAACTCGAGATCTTTTTTCCAACTCCAGAAAGACTTAGCAAATCCAGTTTAGAATAACCCCTGCTTCAGAAGATAAAAGATGATTTTCCTGTAATGTTAAATGACAAACGGATTCCCAGAGTACATTCAATCTCTTGCTTGGGCGTTACACTTGATGAAACACTAAGTTGGGACGAACACACACTGCAAAAATCCTTGCGTAAAATCAACTCAAATATTTGAGTAAAAAAATGCATTCACAGTGACACACAAAGTTTGAGTAAAAATAACTCAAATTTCTGAGTAAAACAAAATGCATTCACAGTGACACCTAAAACGTGAGTAAAATGCGATTTTTACTCACTGTGAGTAAACTACCGGTTCTACGCAAAACAATGAGTAAAATTTTACTCAAATTTCTGAGTAAAACAAAATGCATTCACAGTGACATCTAAACCGTGAGTAAAATGCGATTTTTACTCACAGTGAGTAAACTGCAGGTTTTACGCAAAACAATGAGTAAAATTTTACTCAAGTTTCTGAGTAAACCAAAATCCATTCCCAGTGACACCTAAAACGTGAGTAAAGTGCGATATTTACTCACAGTGAGTAAAAGAAGAGTGCCTTACTCAAAACAACGAGTACAAAACTACTCAAATCTTTAAACATTCTCCTTTTTCTCAGCGAGCTGAGTACCTTTTTACTCATTGTTCCGAGTAAGGCCATGACTGAAAGAAATAATATAAAGTCAGATACTATATAGTCATCTCAACACAACTGTGTCAGTGAAAATAATGTATTCTACCAATATATAGAACAAATTAAAATTAGCATACACAGTAGTAACAAACAAAGTGATTTTGACCTACAATACATGCATGCATGGTTGTACGCACTCCGTTCAGAGTTACAGAGTAAAGATGCAACATTCGAACCAAACTGATGCAAATACTGCAATGAGTTATAAACGATACCTACTATATATACAATACAAGAGCAATTGCCCTCTCCTACTGAGTTCAGATTTTATTCAGTTCATATTACTTAGTATATGTCGGCATTCCTAATTTCATTAATTAACCTCCTCTCGAAAAGAGAATGTGAGTTCATGCCATCAGTTCCACAATTACAACCTTAACTCGAAAAAGTACCAGCAAGTCAGCGACAATAAAGATTTGAGAAATTGCATTCAACGGTCGCCAGACAACCATTACAAGAAATGGCAATTCTTTTGGGTCTTTGCTTGACACGAAGCTGTCTACATCTTACAGTAACTTTCCTAGATAAATAGAAGGAACATATAATTAGAAATTAATGTTGCAGAGTGAACTACATTTATTATATCCCTTAATTCAGCCCCCGGTTTGGGTGTGCTCTAACATAACACTTATACATGGTTATTATTTGAGTAAGGAAATGCCAAAACCACATATAGTATAATATACAATAAACAATATACAGCAGTATGATATAAAATAATAAATAAAATTAATACACACTGCCACTGAGATTTAGACTGAATAATATTCTTTCAAATTTCTAGGTTAATGTTTCATATGAGTTTTTATAACTAATAATTTCTAAACACTTAAATATTTTTATATTATTCATATATCGATATATGTCAATAACTGTAGTCCCCAATTAATCAGCCACCATGCAAATCAGCCACCAAAGAGTGGTGC